TATTATTGAAGTATAACACAAAAATTCGGAACAAAGCGATATGGAACATGGAGGAAAAGTCTCCTACGAACAAAGGTTATTTAATGAAGGAATTTTATAAGAAGGGTGGATGTTTTAAGCTATCAGATCTTATGAGACGGCGGTAAACTTGCAGTGGTCTGCGCACTTATTCCAGTGAGCCTTTTCAATTGTTTCTCAACCATTAACGACCTTATCGGCCAAGCCAAAACGGTTATTAAACTTCCATTAGCAAAACTGGTCATAACATCCCACGATCTACTAAACAAAGTAATGATTCATGAGGAGCGGAACGGAAAATAGAATTGCACAGTTGCAATTACTGACCGCATACTTGGAATAGAACGACATGATTCCTTCCCTTTCGAATAATTTCTGCTTCAACTGAAGTAGAGCCTGATCAAGGTTCGTGAAGGGCGCGCTAAATGGAGTTCTAGAATATTTGATGAGAGTACACAAAACGCTGAAGGCAGAATTTTTTTGAACCTCAAGAAACCTCAGAACCCTGGCACAGTGTGATTAGTTCAGCTGGATATACGATGAGCAATGTGTGGAAATGGAGAAGAGGATTCGTCTGCAACAAACCACAAAAGATGATGCAAAATGAAAAGTTTATTTGCGAAGGAAAAGTTGAACGTTTCATACAATTCATGGCGTTGTTATTAGTTTGAATGACATTAAAAACAACGGAATCATTCACATTTGGTTCAATAAAAGTCATTTTCTTAGCATTTGGCCCTGAAGTATTAGTTCTATTCCTCATTTAGCCCATATTTTCGTTAACAATCAAAATGTTCATGAGAATTTGGAAATTAATCTTGAATGAATGAATCCGTTGTTGAGTTTATCTTAATGAATTGTATGAGCATATTATTCATTCTTGATTATCGTTCAATGTAGTTTGTCGAAGTCACAGTAGTTCTCCGTGTCGCCTGAAAATAAAATTTTCACAAGATATGAAAAGTACCACTCAATGAAGAATCTCTCCTCAAGAAACCTCAGAACCCTCGCAATTTCAGTGGTAATATATCAAATAACATGAAGTTTTGTGGAAATTATCACTCTATTACCATTTTCAGATGATAAAAAGACAGCGAAACGAAGTAGTAACTCTTTGGTGGAGTGTGAGAGTGATGCACAATGGCTATAATAGGCAATGAGAGATTCCTGCGACTTATTCGCAATTTCATGACATTCTTGCTATTATAAGGTGCACGAGATTGCATGGCACAAAAGCATACATGAATTCTTCTGGCAAATGAAGTGATGAGCATGCATGAAGTCGTTGCATTCATCCGAATGCCAGCCATTGCTTTCCTCATAAACACAGTCACCTTTATCAAGGTCCGGCTCGTGAGGTGCCCAATGCTTATAGTCATTATCAGCCATCTGCAATCGCAAAAGACTTATCAGTCGCACATTGCAATTCATATGTCCATGAGCAGTGACTACTGCACATGTCTGAGACGTATGAGACTCATTACAATCCCCGTCATTTCTGAACGTCATCAGGCATTCACTTCCATTTCTCGACACAATTTCAGTGGTAATATTTCTTTCGGCTGCTCAAAAAAAAGAAGTGATCCATCGTAATCACCTGGATTCCAGTTGCCCATTCGAAAGTACTACCGGAATGGTACGCTCCTATCCAGTATTGATTGTAGCCGTACTTTTGTTCCAAGTCTGAAATCATAATGGATGCTCTTTGTAAAATCCTTTTTGTGAACACTTTCAATCAGATGTTAACTGTCCGCGATTCATTTGATCGTTTTCAATTTATATAGTTACTTTACC